TCTAAAGTAACTGATGCTACCAGCATTTATACAGAAATCAGTCTTCATCTTTTGAAAAGCCATCAGAGCAGACACTGAATGAGATAACTTCATTCTTCAAAGTGGATGATGTTTTAAAAAAATATGATACATGATAAGAACGTCGATTTTTTTCTTATATTTGACTCAAATTAGTTAAAACACTAGTGATTCCTTTTGAATACTAACTCCTACTTATTGCTGTTTGTATGCTAATAGAAAATATAAAGAATTTTGATGTACATTCTGTGAGCTAGGGTTAAACATTCTGCAATGAACAACTTCTGAAGAAAGATTGCTCTCAAATGAATTCTATTTTAAAAACTTTTTTCAGGACATGCTAAAAGTATAAAGATCTGCTATTCCAGTGAGGTCAATAGTGAACATGGTCAGTTCACTGATTCACACACCTGTGCTATGGTTAGTTTAATAGTTAGAATTAATTCATGCTAAGCTATCCACTGATAGTTTGAGAGATATTTCCAGATTTCTTCAAATGTTGGAAGATGTTAACATCTTGAATAAATTCATAGTTTAGTACGGCACTTCCCGTCCATTTGTAGAGACTCATCGGGGTAACCATAGCTATCAGATGTCATCATTGTGACCTTCTTCAATTACCAAAAGATTAATTCAAGTAGATTTTTACTCATGCCTACTACTACTGTGTCTTGTATTGAGTTCGTGTAGTTATTTTATTGGTTTCAATCGTGGCCGACTATTTAGGGTTACTTAGAGCAAACAAAGATGAGGCCTACTACTGATGAGGTGGAACCTTATTCAAACTGAAACCATGTTTCTCATATAATCGGCCTTCTCATTAGGTAAAATCCTAATTTAAGATTTACGACAAAGCATGAACAAGATGGCTAGTTTCATTTTCAAAATCTTGTTATTCAGCGTGATGCATATGGCAAGATTCAAAGTTGTATTCATCGAAAATAGACGTTAGTTGGACTTTTGGGGATTTTTATTAGATTCTGTTTATAAGCTTCAAAATAAGATTGATTAGAAAGCTATTCAAGTGTGATAGAAAACCATGTTTTTAGGAGAAATTTGAAGAGCTAGCTATAAGTGAAAAATGCTTGTGTGCTAATAGTTATCCATACAAATTCATTGACAGCCATGGAAAATCAATTGCCAAAAGAGTATGGTGTAGCAGAGCAGAAAAAAACCTGTCTTTGCATAACCTGACTTCAAAAGTAATGAAATTGTTAAGCAGAACGGGTGTAAGCTGCACGCTAATTAAAAAAAGACATCCTCCAGCTAAACGTGTTTGCCTTTATCGGATGATATACTGGTTGCAACAGTCGAAAGTCAACAAGTTCACATACCAAGTTCCTTTCAAAATCCATCAAACAACTTACGTGCATGTGTCAAAGCAACTGCATTAGAAGAACGCAGATAGGGGATTATTTTCAGATTTTTGAACCTTTACGGAAAAACTGTCAATTCAATAGCATAACTACACGTTGCTTTCGAAGTAGCAAGCAAAATGTTAATTTACGTGTTTTGAGGTGGAAAGGGATTTTAATTTTTGAGGTAGAATCCATCGCTGACTGACATACGTTGGAGAACTATTAAGACCTGAGAGCACTGAACCGCAATTTCGTCCTAGTATGGGGCTTATCAGCAGTATACACCCATCAGCCGGCTGTAAACCGTACTTTGGACCTCTTGGTTTCATGGTGAACAAGTTAGTCATTCAGCGAATGGGCTGGAGTCCGCAGTTTCCAACTCCTCTCAATTTGCGACATAGCGTGACTATCACCCAACTTTTAAGTTAGCAGCCACTTCACTTCCGACTGGTTGACCCCACAGGTCACGGCTTCTTATTAGAATTTCGTAGATATCCATCTGGAAGGAAGTCATTAATGAGCACTATAGAGTAATGTATTTTTGAGATGAATGAGGATTTTTAATTTAGTGGTAGTATTCACGACGGACGTCAGGTTTTCAATGGTTTCCCAAATGATATCAGTCCGTGATGAATACTACCTCAAAATGTTACACGTAAGTAGTGCACCGAACCGGAAACTCGATGTTTGGTGATTCAAATTCTGGTACAATCCGAATTTTAATTTCATCCTCAACTATCACTCAGTATCAATACAAGTCTGTCAAACCATGGCTCCTCCAGATAGTCAGGTTGATAACATACCTTTTGGTCGAATTCATAATCGCGCTTAGAAATTTTATATCTTTATAACCTATAATTAGTTAAAGATATGTTTTGCTACCAGACTCCATTTCGTCGAATTTGTCAAGCCTTCAACAGACTCATCTGAAAGTTTACAAAAAATGTAAGCACAAAATAATCTTGACTTGTTTTTTAGTGCTAAATCATTTTAAAGGGCATCTTAAGAGTCTAGAAGTCACCAGCTGATAAATACACCGCAGACGAAAGCTGAAATATCCTACTAATTTGTTTCATGATGCTGTGTTCATCTTGGTAACTAGCAGTAGAATTCAGCGAGCACGTTTCTTCTTATTTAGGACTCGTCGACCGGATTTACCTGCACTCTAGTCAGTGATTTTGTTCTTAGTATCCATCACTTCAAACGCCAAGACGCTATCCACAAAGCCATTGGCGCATGAGAGCCAACATTTGTGAAACAGACAAACAACTCCACCCTGTATAGCAAATGATAATTACAAGTATCAAGCAATATGTTGCTTGATTTTTTAGGAGAAACTTCCTGTTAATTTATTTGCATAAACAATTTACTACATTTTTGCCCCAGTCACTTGTTGGTTTAGCGCTTTGTTTGTCCTCAACCATATACATTCACCAGGCAATAACAAACTATACCAACAACTTTTGGTTTTTTCAAGAGCCTATAAAAGAATAAGGTAAATGAAATGATCGCCTTTAAATTGTCTCAAGGAAATTTTTGAACAAATTCTAGTGTTTAATAAATACTCTTGTTATTCACATTGACACTGAGAGTAGATATGATGTTCATATGGCATTATCTCTTGTAAGAAGGAAACTGAGGGACAAATGGAGACGTTTGAGGTTCCACCCACATAAATGTACCAATGAACACAAAAATTGAGCGTAAACATATAATTGGCAGTTATTCATAAAACTGTTTCATTTCTCTTCATTTATTTCACTGATGTTTTGGATGGTGTTGCGTCCTCTCAACTGAAGTGTTTTATCTTAGAGCTTTCATTTTCATTCTAGACAATATCATTAGCACATACTTCAAAAAGAAGTGAGCTATAAATTGGGGAGAAAACCTTATAGGTCACTTCTTTCTGAAGTTTGTGCTGATAATGTAGTCTAGAATGACGACTAAAAGCTCCACAATTAAGCCACTCAGCTCAGAAAACACCACGTCATCAATATTATCCTCCTAAGCTACAAATATTCTCCGTCATTACTGTTTTACTTCGTATTTTCCTATGTTCATAAACTTGAATTATCAAAGCTACCTGCTTCTTAACAGTATATTTAATTTAGAAAGTACATTCTAACTAGTGGAAAATCTTCACCTATGTCCTTTCTTCCGGAAAGAATCCCTGAAATAAGACTCAAATAGAATCTATAAAAGAGGATTGCGCTGTAAAGTTAGTTGTTTAATAGAACACAAAATACCGTAAAATAACTATAAACTCCATTCTTTGCTGGTAGAAAAATAAGAATTTTCCTTTGCAAATAGTTTTTCTGAAGAAATTTACTTGTATTCTTATCAAACTTTCATTGTTATTTCGGAACAAGTAAGTTTTCTGTTCCACTTTCAGAAAAGGAAGTGACAAACTGAATAATTCAGACTCGAATCACCAAGAAAATACCAGTTTCCTAATGATTTATGATATACCTTACTGATAAGTTCAAACAAGCATAGAATCTAAGTCCAGGGTTTCTTGTTCAGTTGATCTCCAACACACATCTTACAGTTCTCTGTCAAAACCATTTTATACTGAAATTCAAATAGAGACGATAACTTAGTTTTAATCAGTTTGACTATCTCAGATAGCCGTGGTTTAAGAGACTTACGTCTGTACTGGATGATGACTGAGGGTGGTAGGATCACTCAGCGTCACTACGGGTCTGCCAAATCACAGCTATCTCAGGTAGTCAAACTGATAATCAATATGATGCTCTTCCCCTCTGATCCGAATAGATTCTGAATGGGATGAGTTTTGACTGAGCAGTTAGTGTAGGTACAATTATACGATAGTAACATGTGACGAATTTACATGGTAGTCAAACACAACGCTTGCTGATTGAAATAAAATAAAAATCTGGTCACTAGTCGGTTCTCATAGCTCAGTTGGTAGAGCATCGGGCTGGAGATCGGATGGTCCTCAGCTCGAATCCTCCAGTTGCCTAAATTTTCATTTTACCTTCAGTAGTCACCCAGTACCAATTTAACTTTCAACTGTATATTAAGTTAGTAAAGTTACTCCCTTATGACAAGCAGTTGACTTTATCCATTTTAAACTATCTCTTAACTAACTTTCAGCATCTAGCATTCAGAATAAGAGTTAACTGTATTTTATTGTTCCACCATGCAACTCTATTCTTTTTTTTGAATATATGTGATCAAAACGATTGACATCCAGTCTACTTTGTATTAGAAAGATTAACACATTGTTAGGGAACTGCATGTTGGGTTTCAAAACTAAAAAACAACATGACTAAACTATTTTTATACTTTGTATACACATATATAGGAGTGGAGATAGTTCTCAAACGTTTGACACTGCATTGGACAATGAAAAGTAACATTTTTCCTTCAGACCTGGTGAATCTTCAGTATTCAAAGGACTTTTACAATCGACGGTACAATGGTCAAGCAGAAAGATATTTAGAGGTAGTATTCACCATGGACTGACATCAGTTGGGGAACCACTGAAAATCTGGAAACACTGAATAGCTGTTTCGTCCCAGTATGAGACTCCTCAGCAGTACACACCCACGAACCGGCTGGGTCAAACTCAGAAAACACAGCGAACGCGTTAACCATTCAGCCAGTAGTTCCCTAACTGATGTCAGTCCATGATGAATAATACCTCTAACTTAAAAATTCCCATTCGTCTCAAAAATGAAATATTTATTTTTCCAATTTATAAAGAACACATTCATGGGATTATTTTGATTTAAGAGTATGCTCAAAAGCAAGTGGAAGAAAACAGAGAAGGTATATCACTGTATTATCAACAAAAGTTGACAAAGATAATCTTCATGTAATGACTGATTTGCAAACTCGTGTTATTTTAGACAGTTATATCTTAGTTACAAGAAAATCGTGGATTTATGCTGACTATCGGAATTGATAAGAAGAAATTTAATTTCCAATGAAGAAATTCATCAAAATCTAGAAAAATATTTTTTTTACAAAGTAGAATTAGTAACTGTAAGCAAGTAACATTCCTACAAATTAATGAATATCCAATATACAACTGTTCATGTAAAATATTATGCAATTATTGATGCCAAAAAAGGAATCTGTCAAATTAAAATAAACTGTGACGAAATAATTACATGTACAATAAGTGTTATTGTTAAGTACAACTGGTAGAGAATGATATAAAATTGTTGTCCTGAAAGAAATTTAAATGAGAAAGAGTAAACAGAGAAATTAAAGATATTATCACTTCAGTTTTCCAGGATGTAGAATATTGCTTTGAAATAGTTGCTTTAACAGAGCATAAATTATTTGATGTGTACAACTCTGACTGACTCAGTATAACTAAAGCTTTCTGTCGAAAGACATACCAAATATCTGAAACTATACTGGTGTTGATTGAACACAGTTTCATTGAAATTCTCAACACTTTTCCTTTTACTTATCTGAAGTTATTCTCTCCAACAACTGCTGTTCAGCTTTAATTTTTTTGACATGAAAATGGAAAACATTCAGTAGTGATCAAACGAATAACCTGGCAAAAGACACTGCTAACTACACAGTTCACTTCATTGAACCATTTAAAGTGTTCGTATTATGTGTGACCTGATACTTTAAAATGTGTTAATTTCTTTAAAACTTCTCGAGAATTATTTTACTGAATTGATTGTGTGTTTCTCTATCTGTTTACAAAACTTTGTTGTCTGGCGGTTAACTTCCCTGGATGTATCTTCAAATTGAATAACTATGGATTTACATCTAGAGTTCACTTTTGTGTACTGTAGAGAAGAGTTCTCCTTTACAATAGTCTGAAAAAAACGAAATATTCAACTGAGTTGTAGTTTATCACTGAAAACCTGAATAAGCATTCAATATAATGTGAAAAGCGAAAAACGATTAATCCATGTTACAAAAAAGATTTTCTCCACTACTTCAACGAAATCAGCTTGTAAAAACTGCTCCAAAGTCATTCGGTATACAACTGATAGTGTGTTTTGCTGTATTCGAGTACTTCAGCTGTTGACAGAAAATAAAAAGTCAAAGCTCTAGATCTCTAACGCTGTCAGCAGATAGAAATAATTTGCTTTTATGATACTGATGGTTATACTATCCTATACTGTTAGACAGAACAAATAAAAGGATAAATTATCAATAAACCCCGTATTTTTGAGATGAATGAAGATTTTTTAAAATTAAGAAGTAGTGTTCATCATGGATGGATATCAGTTGAAGAACCATTGAAAATCTGGGAGCACCGAACTCCAATCTCGTCCTAATATAGGACTCATCGGAAGCACACACTCACGACCCGGTTAGGGATTGAACTCAGGACCTTAAGGTTTCATGGCAAACGCGTCAACCATTCAGCCACTGCATCGGTTTCCAGTGGTTCACAATTTCCATCTTTTGTCAATTCACGACACAGAGCGACTTTCACACAAGGTCTTCAATTAGCATCCACTTCACTTCCGACTGGTTGACCCCACAGATCACGGCTTCTCATTAGAATTCCGTAGATATCCATCTGGGAGGAAGTCACTAATGAGCACTATAGAGTAATGTATTTTTGAGCTGAATGAGGATTTTTAATTTAGTGATAGTATTCATCATGGACTGACATCAGTTAGGGAACCACTGGCTGAATGATTAACGCGTTCGCCGTGTTTTCTGAGTTTGACCGAGCCGGTTCGTGGGTGTGTACTGCTGAGGGGTCTCATACTGGGACGCAACAGCTATTCAGTGTTTCCAGATTTTCAATGGTTCCCCAACTGATGTCAGTCCATGATGAATACTATCACTAAATTAAAAATCCTCATTCAGCTCAAAAATACATTACTCTATAGTGCTCATTAGTGACTTCCTCCCAGATGGATATCTACGAAATTCTAATGAGAAGCCGTGATCTGTGGGGTCAACCAGTCGGAAGTGAAGTGGATGCTAATTGAAGACCTTGTGTGAAAGTCGCTCTGTGTCGTGAATTGACAAAAGATGGAAATTGTGAACCACTGGAAACCGATGCAGTGGCTGAATGGTTGACGCGTTTGCCATGAAACCTTAAGGTCCTGAGTTCAATCCCTAACCGGGTCGTGAGTGTGTGCTTCCGATGAGTCCTATATTAGGACGAGATTGGAGTTCGGTGCTCCCAGATTTTCAATGGTTCTTCAACTGATATCCATCCATGATGAAAACTACTTCTAAATTAACTCTGTGTTTAAACGAATGTTCGGACCATTACTGGCTAATGTTATTTGCTCAACTTTGAAAGCTACCAGGAGTTACTGCAAATCAAACTTCAATCTAGTGTCAGTTGGTTGAAAGCAGTTAGTAGGAAACTGTGAACCCAGATAACTGGAGGGTAATTGGTGTTGTCTTTCTCTGAGTGCTGTCCATTCATTTTAGCCATTCCAATATTATAGGAAGTCACTCATGATCCGAATAGGTCACTGATAATGCTTCTAACTACCGCATTTTTGAAGTAGGTTAGAATCTCAGACCGGACATTAATTCTATCAAGGGTGAAGATACACCTCGCTGACAACTGCCAACAAGGACAAAAAGTAAGTTGAAGGATTCCTACCGATCCATGACAGTGCATCATGTTGATAAGTTCCCTAGCTTTGTTAGCACAGTACAAAATGACAGATAGAATTCGGTCAGCACTCAGGAATCGACAACACATAATTGGTCACCCTCCAGTGGCAAAACAATGTAATTGTCTGCAATAAAACAACGTTTCTAGACAAACGGTGATGATAAATCAAGAGTTTCATCAAAGCATATTCAACAGTATCACTCGAAGTACAGTGATACCATAGATGAGAAGCTTCCTGAGCGCAGTAGGAGTAAATGCTAAAACTCCTTTGGATTTCACCGTAACATGTCAGTTAAGCTATCATATTTTCACTGATCTAACCAGCTGTTTCAACGGAACCCTCACACTATAGATTCTAGAATTCTTTATACCTAGTGTTACCAGCCATGTTGCACTTGGTGACAAGTTTGCCAAAGGTGCAAATACTTGTTCCCTCCAATAAATATCTAACTTACCTGTCTATTTTGCTGCAGAAATTTCGAATTTGTAGTTTGCTTGTAACATAAGTTCTAAATGGATATTTTCCACTACATGTCTGTAGTAATTTTGGGACAGAATTTACCTCCTCCACTTGTCAGAAGGCATTCTGATGCTGTGTGTTGACTGAGATGACGTTTAATCTGAATATTATCACAATGATGTTTCAGTACTTCAGTGTAATAAATTTGCATATAGGTTTCTAAATCATTTACATCTTGACTCAGTTTGCTATTTAAATCCATAACTGGTATTTGAATTCCTTTATGTAAAGTTTCACTGTTCACTTGATCAGCTCCAAATAAATTTACTTCCGTGTCTAATTCTTTGCATTTAAATAATGAATTGGATATCTCAGTGAAATCAGTGAAAGCTGAACATTTTCTCTTCTCCAGATTGATTGGCTTTGTTAAGATATTAGATAATATATTCGCTTGTAGTCCATACTCATGGAGTTGATTTAAAATATCAGGTGCGAGCTCCATTTTCTTTTCATTGACTCCACAAAACAAACATGAAATATATTCTGGGATAGATTTTAAACTGTATATTTTGTCGAGATCATTTAAACGGGAAGATAAATTGGTGTCGCTTAAGATGTTTTTCTGCTTATTTGAGTTATCAGGCTGTAGATCATCACTCTCTTCTGTTGGCGTCAATATCGATTTTCCCGTCGGATGATACTCCTTATTCAATAAAGATGAAATAGTAAATTTATTCAAATCAGTATTCAATTTTGGTTTGATATCTAAGTTCACTTGGCAGGGACTAATAACTTCCTGGTTAAATGATGGAGTGATAAATTCACTTTTTGGCTTAAAGTTGGAGGGAGATTGTTGATTAACAGCAAAAGAATTCAATGAACTGGAGTTGAAGCAGTCAGAATTAGGAAAGTTTACAACAAGTGTGGAGTTTTCTGTACACGGAGGGATATCCCATATTGGTTTGTGTAAGTTTGAAGATATCGAATTACAAACTGATTGGTTTGAGGTTTTTGCAGAATTTAACAGAGATGTGAACCAGGGACTCATCATAAATGCTTGGGATTCTGTTATTCCAGGATTCTATCAGTAGAATAAATTAAAAAGAAATTTAACTGATTACACTACTGATTAGTATTACAAAATGTATAATTTACCTGCCAACTATTTAACTTTCTCGTGAATACAGTTAAGGCTAATGAGAAGTTCTGACACATTCTAAATAGTTTAAGACGAAATATTCAAACTCTGGCGCCTAGTTAGTACTTCCGCCTTCCATGTAGCAAATGGGATTCACAGTTTGATACAATGTGTTATTCGTAATTATGACGTGTGATGCACTCTGCAGTAATCTTACGTGCTGCGACTTCTATTTAATTCCTTGTAACAAAACTTGCCTTTAGATGTCTTCAAAGGGCATGATATCAAGTTTATTATTACTCCTCCCCTTGAGTATCAGGTTGCTTTGGCAAATATATTTACCTTTTAAACTGATTCCCGTCCGGTGGACAGCTATTTCACGTTCTCCGTGAAACCTGAATGTCCTGAGTTCGATCCGTGGCTGAGTCGTGGGTGCACACAGCTGAAGAGTTCCGAGACAGGACGAAACAGTTGCCCAGTGCTCCTATGTTTCCAACAGTTCTGCAACTGATGTCAGTCCTTTATGAATACTACAGTAAAAATGAAAGCCCTATTAACCCTAAACCACACTACTGTATAGCGTTCATTAAGAACGCGCTTCAAAATGGATATTTTGAGGTTCTGATGCAAAGTCGTGACCTGTGGAGTCAGCCAAGTCGAAAGTGAAGTGGAAGCCAACTGAAGACCATGGATGGTAGTCATGTTACATTACGATTTAACAGACTATTTACTACTGAACTCTACACCAGTGCGTGAATACTTTCTGCTCTCGTCATGAGACCTGGAGGTCGTAGGTTCGATCCCTGGAGGGGCGGATTCCTGGGTACAGACTGCTGAAGAGTCCCATACTAGGATAAAGTAGCTGCCCAGTACCCCCTGGCCTTTCATTGGTTCTCCACCTGATGTCAGTCCATGGTGAATACTATACTGACCAAAAAATCATCAACAGACCCTACGGGCTTCGCAAAATAACTAGACTGTTAAGTCAAGACGACACTAATGAAAGATCTTACTGGGTGATACAGTAATTGATAATGAAAAATGGCAAAATCAGCTAACAGAGATTTTTGTTTCATGACACTCCCTTATAGTGTATAGAATAGTCAACTAATTTATGGTGCACAAATAGAATGCAAGTGAGCAAACTAAAGAAGTGGATACAAAAACCAATTTGCCCGAAAAAGGTCAATTCAGTGGCTGTTGTTTATTAACTTCAGCGAATACAAAGCTGAAACAGTTGCACATAGATACTTTTGTTACCGTGTTGACATAGTGAGACGTCTGATGAAAAATCGACTGGGTACTATTGAAGTAAGTGATAACAGTTTCACCTTAACTTTAAAGAATTTTATGTAATTTAGCCTACAGTGAAGTAATATTACTTACTGGATGACGTTCCGAGGACAACATATTTCTCTTAATCATATCAAAGTGCTTTACACCAACAGCAATATTTTCTACTTCTACACTGGAAAGCCTAAATGTCTAAAGCTTTATAACATACATGTGAACATGTTTCTGAGTAAAGTAGTGGTAGATCATTCGTTAACTGCGATCATATGTCAGTAAAACTAAGAATAGTGAGCTAGATACAAAACAGATTATGAAAAAATTTTATGAATATGATAGTAGTAATGATACGTTTTGTGAATTTTGACTTACAGATGAAAAAGTAGAAGTTTGGTAGGCTGACATATGATTCGCTAAATAGTCCGATACATTCATTACTGTGTCTGAATGTTGACTTGACCTTGTATTTTGACAATTATGCAATGAACTTTTTAATGTTTGGTTGAATTGATAACTGGAATATGCGTTGGCTGTTGAGACATTTTTAAAATTACTTCTACCGTTAATGATACAATCATCCTGATCTGCATGATTCATGTTGAGATTGTCAAGGAAATTACTATTTTTGCCAGTGTTTGTGTTTCTGTTATTGAAGCAGAAGTCTGAAGTTTGTTTCTCATAACTGGTCAAATTCTCTGGATTATGAACACTAGGATATTTTTCTGGTTGCATAAATAAAGATAGTGGTGGTGGTATTAGTCCAGACGCTTCATATAGTCTATGAAATGACTTTAAAGAATGTGCAAAATTTTCCAGCTGGGAAATATTAGGAATGGTACTAGGATGTGGACAGAAAAACGAGCAATCAGAGTTTGACATTTTCGTCGAAATTGGTGATTTCGGTGGCATAATTGTACTAGATTTTGAAGCAGCACCAGAACATTGTGACATGCCGAACCCTGGCGTACGAAAAAAGCTTGAAGAAGTAGGATATTCTGGATGTCTGCAACAATTCGATAATCTACTAGGCTGTAATTTAGTAAGAGGTGGTGCATTTCCAAGCAATTTTAAATGGTCATACCATTCTAATCGTAAATTTAAGGGCATGGCATTCAAAATTCCTGTAAGCATATCTTCTAGTGGCAGTTTCGGAAGACAATTTCCTTCACTGGAAGAGAAATTTCTTATGTGTTCAATATTTGTATTTACTATATGATTCGACTTACCACACAAATTTCCTTTGCGTGGTGTACGTTGGGATATGGGTGTATATTTTGATGGGATACTATTCAACCTGTTTGGACTTCCTTCAGAATTGGCTTCAGATGCTTGATTAGTCAAGCAGTCAGGAGTTTGGTGCAAACGGCCATGTGTAATTGTATTAGACTGTTGTATGTTTGACGAGCTACGTGAATTTTTCTGGGGACTAGATTTACACAAATCACCTGATGTTTGAATTAGTTTGTTATGTTCATCGCTTAATGCATTGGTGTTTGTATTTCCAAGTGTATTATGCTGTTTAAGTAGTTGATCAAATAATTCTTGTCTATCTGATTCTGGCATTTTCAATAGTTCTGCATGTCTCCTAACAGTATGGCGTTTTATTGTATCTAATTTTCTTTGCGTCATAACCTTATGGCATACAAGGCACATAACCTGAAAACAATGCGGAAGGAATAAGTATAGATTAAATAAGAATATGTGATATCTTACAATCTCAAACAGTCAATTAAATCACGATATGTTTCGTAGTCTACTTGGTGGCTAGGAGTTGAATCCAAGACGTATGTCTCTTCGTATTTGGGACTTGTTAGTTGGATTTACCTGCACACCAGTGAATGTTATCCCTTTTTAGATGCAAACACAACATTCATCACTTCAAACACCAAAGCATTATTCACTAGGCCACTGGACACACCAGTGACATAGATAACAACGACAATCATCATCTTTTTTACATGAAACAGTCTGATACTGCCATATATATATATATATATATATATATATATATATATATATATATATATATAAATGATTTGTCAAACAGTTGGATATTTATTTTCATCAATAAACTGAACGACAAAATTATTCAATGAGGTTTTTTCGCTCATATAGTGACACGAAACCAAGGTTGAAATTCAAGACTTCTACCTTGCGTGCTGATGACCTTGAATGCTAACTTCGCTTTAAGCTGCTTTCTACCACAGGTGCATCCAGATGACGAATTCTAAACAGGACAAAACGCATGTCTTAGATTCCACTGAGAGTCATAATCCATCATTACTGCTAAATGTAAAGCATTATTTCTGTGTCAAACTGTATTCACATTTTCTAACTCCATTAGCGATCATTTAAGATGAACTAGAATTAAGTGTATCTTCAAGGTGTTAAACATCTTGATTGTTTCACATTTTTTATTGACAGTCCTAATATTTTTTGTCGACGCTGGGTATGTTTGTTCATGTGTACAAGCATGTCTATGAATGAAACTGTCACTGATACTCTTGAACATAGGTAGAAAACTGTCAATCATGTAAATAAATAATCTAATGTATAGAAATGTAATTAAAGATAGTTTGTAAAACTTTAGTTAAAGTGGATAAATAGTACATATTAAACAAAAATGTGATAGCTATGCAAAATGATGTGTTATTGTCCGTGAACAGTGTAAAATGCCTAATTCTTTTAAGTGTATCACACATTTACAAGTGAATTCAAACGAAATTAACAGATAGACTGTTTCAGCCAATATTGCCTTTAGTTTTGTACAATTATGTCTATAATAAATTTTTTTTACTCTATTACTAGATGACTGAATGAAAATTAAGTAGTATTTTCTTTAAATATTATTACTGTTCTTTATGTGCTGACAATAATAAAGAGGAAAAAAGTCAAAAGTTGACTAAGTGTTCTAATTTTTCCAGTGTATCTTTCAGTGGGTGAAATGATGGTGTTAAAACATATAGCTAATTTTATTTAACATTAATAGAGACGTTTCCTGATGTTTTGTACAGTTTTAAACTGATGATATTCAGGTCAACCTTGTCCGATAAAATAGAAAGGAAAAGAAACCTAGTTAGCTAACAAGCAGTTTGAAAGTTTTGAATCCTATGGTGTAATATTGTTTTCTAAGTCCATGCATCATTCAGAAATTAACTGTGATCAAATTGAGATGCGGCCTGTCGGTCTGGACAATCAAATTCTGAGTAATGTTTTTAGAGCTCTCTCTCTCTCTCTCTCTGTGTTCAAGCGTAAATAGCCAGAGTTCTAGTAAGAAGCTGTGATTGGTGTGGCAAACCAAGACGGACATGAAGACAAATACTCAACGATGGGATTAGATGATGGTTACTCTATATCACAAATTGACCGAAGCCACAAAGTGCCAACTATCGGACTCCAACCCAGTGACCCAATGGTAGCATGCTCACTGCGAAGCCTGGAGGTACTGGGTTTCATTCCATGGAGAGTCGTGAGCAAGCACTACTGAAGAGCCCCATATCAGGACGAAACAGTTGTATAGTGCTCTGCGTTTTTCAAACGTTTAAAGAAAAGAAATTTGACCGTTAAGATGTAAGTAATTCCCTCTGATTCTCCATGAAAATCAGTGTGTTGATAAGCTTTTATTCTTTGCCTACCAAAGTCTCCGTTTCCTGTTCAATGATCGCTTTCGTTTCCCTTATCAAGGTGCTATTCATCTGTGAAGTTGAAATACGTGCATCTAACTACGGGTGTTTCACGCATATCCATCCGTTACAATTTCTTCAGACAATGAAAGGTTATTGGTTTATTTGTGTCAACAGTTCAGAACTGATTTTTATTGCTACCATTATTGTGGCTTGAAGACAGAGCTCCGTAACTAAACAGTGACGCTTCCATACAACTTAATAACTATCTGCATGCTTCCTCGGCTGTATTAGGTTAGCTAACATCGGTGTTGTCATCCTGATTCTCAAACCTAGGAGAAAGAAAAGAAATCGTATCTGTGAGGTGTCATGCAGTTTGATTTTTAATGACTAGAAAAAGGATGCAAGTTACTGGTGATTGGCTTTAGTACGTTCAACTAAAGGCTTTCTCATACGATATATTTTGTAGCGTGCCCACAGCTTACATAAGCTTTTAAGAGTTCTCAATTATTTGGCATATTTTCAATTGAGTTTCACCTACAAAGGTACTCATGTCAGTAGTAAGTTTGCCAGTGTATGAAAGAAAAGTTGATACACTGGACCTCATCAGTAAGCATTCGTTAGTCCACTTGCTTCTATGGAGCCGAGTACACCTACAGTACAATGCGCTGGCTTCTAAAATGCACCAGATAATATTACCAAAGCTAGTTACTGAAAAGTGGGTACAAAGCCGTCTGCATCTCTGTCGCTGAACACCTCGTAGACTCTGCACATCTGGCTTCTATAAAAACCTCTGAAAACCTTTCAGAGTTCTCTAAAAAATTCGAACAAACAATTCAAAAGGGGTGAGGAGTAGACACTTATGTATAGCCGAAGCTTTGACTATTCACAGCTTCAAACTTCAATCGTATATTCAAAAGAAACATGTACAAACACGTGTGTTTATTTGAAACAATTACTTCCCTTTGTTAATTTTGACAAAACAATAGGAACATGTAATTCACCTAGATCTTGTAATATATTTGCGCAACACATTTCGAACAGTCTGATCACTCATATACCTGTTATTGGCATTTATGTGAGAAATTACAGAGTTAACAGGTAAGAAGGTCATCGCCGGCCGAATGAGAGAACTATATTGAAGGTCAAAATAATAATGAAAATCAACAAACTAGCAACAACAAAACATCAGTAATACAATAGGCCTGTGTTCAAGGCCGAGTTTGCAAAGATGCGTTTAGTGCGATAACAAATTGTTTTTGAATGCTTAAAGGTGAGCTCAAACCTAATCGCTAATGACCAAGCAAACTTCAAAATACGTCCCTAATAGGTCATGCAGATGGGCTTAACTGACATTTGGCTATCCAGTTTATGCTCCGTTTAGCTGTTGAAGAGGTCAAACTTTCGTTTCCAGCATCAGTTGGGTCAGGCAAGTTTATTTGTTTATAAAGTCACTTTAGAATATGTTTTGTGACCATTATTTTCAATGACTGATGTGTCCTACCTATGTATGTGTTACCATCCGTAAATTTAAATTGGTATATACAGTGGGATGTGACTTCATCTTTCACCTGTTCCGAGGGCTTAGATGTGTATACAGACTTCGAATTTTCAATTATCCGAACTTTATCCCCATAATCTTTTATTAACGGCTGCATTAATTCTCTATCAAGCTATTCGCATCACCAGTGTATGGTAGTTTAATTAGCATATCTTTCTTAGGGACAGAGTCGACAGTTTTTCTCAGTGTACTGTTTATTTGTCTAAGTAATTTTACCAGATACCAAATCTTGCTCTTGAATGCCTTTCTATTCAATTTTGTGAAGCTGCTGCTGCATAGTATCATTCCATTTCTACTCCAAATCTATCGGTTAACTTTGACCTTTGACTAGGAACTTGTATGGAATCTTTGTTTATCGAATCAACACTAAACACGCAATGGAAATGATTCTGTACCTGTCCCAGATATATAGAAAATTCTACTACCCTTGTCATCACAAAGAAGGAGAGAAAATTAGGAATATATAAACATTGTCTTGAAGTTGTGGAGTTACCTGATATGAATATGGACAATAAATTGTGTCGGAAACGTTATCCAGTAAATGCTACTGTTTCACTGTGTGATATTTCTAATAAACAAACTAAAATGGAATTACAATCGACCACAGTGCCCAAGTTTTCCTCTTATATTAGCTTGTATGGAACATTCGATCATCTTACTGCTATATTAAAAAACGTAAGGCTATGAAAATTTGTTTTGGAAAAGATAACTATCTGTACTATAATCTTCTTTTGTTTTTTTAGTAACTGATATTTATATTTTTACACAGTGAAAGAGTTTACATAGATGTTTACTGCATGGCTAGTTTGCTACTGTTAGTCAGAGTCCCTGAGATAGCAATTTCACATACAATGAATGAATAAAAATACGAACTGGAAAATTAGTAAGGGATCGATGTTGAATGGAGTGCTGCCGTTTCATAATTTACCAAATAGACAATGAGGTTGATAGCTTCAAGGAGGCCAATTCAAATCTATTCTATTAAGGGCTTTCTTTCAATTAAGTTGTCATCTCTGTACACGTAAATCAATGCTTTCGCAAAATGTAACCCAGAAACTCCCAGTAATATTTACAGAAGTTATTAAAACTATATTTCAGTAACCCCTTTTGACTTTCGGTATTGAAGCTGAAGAACTGTTAACTTAAATTTGACTTAGACGATTGGAGAAAATAACAAAGAGTGAAGTACTCATCCATGAGATGAAAACAAGCTCCTGTTTTCTTCATTCGGTGTTTCATTCTGGAGACACTGGGTCCTGACCCAGTGGGTCAGTGACAAAGTGCTGACCACGGGACCTGGAAGTCCTGCGTTCGATCCCTGGTGAGGTGGAGTCATTGGTGCGCACTGCTGAGTCTCATACTAGGATGAAGCACTTATCCAATGCTTCCAGGTTTCCAGTGTTCCTACATCTGATATCAGCTTATGATAAACACCAACCACAAACCCCAAAACGGATTAAATAACTTCCTTT